AGAGAGAGAGAGAGATGAGTACAATTCATCCCGATACATTACTTCGAAAACATATAGTCCTCACCCTTGGAGGCAGCTTCAGTGAGTGTCAAGGCCGGATGGCGGGCTCAGTGCTGCGAGACCTAGGAAGAGAAAAAAAAACTTTTTAAATGAAACAAACCGACAGAAAAACAAACAAACACACAAACAAACAAACAAACAAACAAACAAACAAACAAACAAACAGACAGACAGACAGACAGAAAAACAAACAAAACAATCAAACAAACACGCAAACAAACACACAAACAAACAAACAAACAAACAAACATACAATCAAACAAACAGACATTAAAAAACCCAAACGATCTGATCATTTTATATGTTCGTTTTGTTTGCTTTTTTTTTCAACCAGCTGCTACATAGGTTTTGAATGACAGACGGAAGCTGTCAGCCAGTGTGCCTCCTCCTCTCTCACTCCCGCCCCCCTCCCCATACACACACACTTTCACACACACACACACACCACCCTCATTTCTTTTTTCCGACCATGAAAGGGATTAAGATCTTCTCTCGCATGCAATAGTAGACAGGCTTGTTTTTCTTGCTATGAGCTTTCGTTAATGCTGCTGCTGTTGTTATTGCTGTTGTTGCTGTTGCTGTTGTTATGGTTGTTTATGTGGTTGCTATTGTTGTTGTAGGTGTAGGTGTTGTTGTTGTTGATGTTAATGTTGTTGTTGTTGTTATGGTTGTTGAAGTGGTTGTTATTGTTGTTGATGTTGTTGTTATTGATGAGGTTGCTGATGATGTGGTTACAGTTGTTGTGGTGGTTGTTGTTGCTGTTGTTGTTGTGGCTGTTGCTGTTGTTGTTGTTGTTGTTGTTATGGTTATTGATGTGCTTGTTACTGCCGTCGTCGTTGTCGTTTTTATTGTTATTGCGTCGTTCTTCATTTTGTTGCTGGTGGTGACAATGCTGCGGTTACTACAAACACAATCTTTTTCACTCTCATATTTTTTACATTTAAAAAAAATATCCACCGGCCATTGACTCGTGGTCCCAGCAGAAGACTCGCATTGTGAGCGACCACACCACAGCCAATGACAGAAGGCGTATTATAACATTGGGAGATAGGAAGAGAGATAAAAGCAGACAAAAAAAAGCAGCAGCATGTGGAATGTGAAAGCGCGCGCGCGCCGCACACACACACACACATAGAAACAAACAGACAGACAGACAGACAGGCAGGCAGGCAGAGAGACAGGCACACAAAATATTTATTTATAGATAGAATACAGATGAATAGATGGATAAATAGATAGATCGACCGACAGACAGATGGACGGACAGACAGACAGGCAGGCATATAGATATATAGACAAACAGGCAGGCATATAGATAGATAGATAGATAGATAGATAGATAGATAGATAGATAGACAGATAGACAGATAGATAGATAGATAGATAGATAGATAGATAGATAGATAGATAGATAGATAGATAACTCATCTCTGTGCATTTAACAGAGCTAAAATTTAGCGAATTGTTTTTTGTTTTTGTTTGTTTGTTGTTGTGCAACGTATTGTGCGTCACTAGTGTCAGCAAAATACGGGGTGCCCACTACGGCTGGATCGGGCCGATCGCCTGACTCGA